ACAATATTTGCAAATCTGCTCAAAGAAACGCTTAAAAACGCCTGAAAAAAAAAGTTTGAAAAAAAAAAAAAAGCTTGAAAAAAAAAACGCCTAAAAAAAAAAAACGCAGCTACAACATTCACAAATCTGCTCAAAGAAATGCCTGAAAAAAATCGCTGTTAAAAAAAAAAAAAACGCCTTAAAAAAAAATGTGCCTACAATATTCACAAATCTGCTGAGACGCAGCAAAAAAAAAAAAAAAGCCTGAAAAAAAAAAAAAAAAACACCTTTTGCTACAGGCGGCAGAATGCTCAAGTGTGAACAGGGGCCATAGAAATGAACTGGATTTTACTTGTTGAAAATCTGCTCAAAGATGCCTGAAAAAAAAAAACGCTTGAAAAAAACACGCGACTACGATATTCGCAAATCTGCACAAAGAAACACTCAAAGACGCCTGCAAAAAAAAAGTTGGAAAAAAAAACGCCTAAAAAACATGACTACAATACTCACAAATCTGCTCAGACGCCTGAAAAAAGAAAAAAAAAAGCTTTAAAAAAATGCCTGGAAAAAACGCACCTACAATATTCACAAATCTGCTCAAAGAAATACTCAAAGACGCCTGAAAAAAAAAAAACATGCTTGAAAAAAAAGCCTAGAAAAAACACTTTCAAAAAATGCCTAGAAAAGACACCTGAAAAAAAAAGAAATGCTTGCAAAAAAATGCCTGAAAAAAATGCGGCTACAATATTTGCAAATCTGCTCAAAGAAACGATTAAAAACGCCTGGAAAAAAAAAAAACGTTTGAAAAAAACAAAACAAACGTTTGAAAACAAAGCCTGAAAAAAAAACCCCTCAAAAGACGCCTGAAAAAAGAAAAAAAAAAAACTTTAAAAAATGCCTGGAAAAAACGCACCTACAATATTCACAAATCTGCTCAAAAATGCCTGAAAAAAAAAAAATTGAAAAAAAATGCCTAGAAAAAAAATGCGCCTACAATATTCGCAAATCTGCTCAAAGAAACACTCAAAGACACCTGAAAAAAAAAAAATGCTTGAAAAAAGCCTAGAAAAAATGCCTAGAAAAAACGCTTTCAAAAAATGCCTAGAAAAGACGCCTGAAAAAAAATAAATGCTTGAAAAAAAATGCCTGAAAAAAATGCGGCTACAATTTTCGCAAATCTGCTCAAAGAAACGATTAAAAACGCCTGAAAAAAAAACGTTTGAAAAAAACAAAAAAAGCTTGAAAAAACCCCCCCAAAAAAAAAAAAAACGCCCGAAAAAACCCCCCCAAAAAAAACGCTTGAAAAAAAAAAACGCGCCTACAATATTCGCAAATCTGCTCAAAGAAACTCACAGATGCCTGAAAAAAAAAAAGCTTGAAAAAAACGCCTAAACAACGCAGCTACAATATTCACAAATCTGCTCAAAGAAATGCCAGAAAAAAAAAAAAACGGCTGAAAAAAAAAACCGCTTGAAAAACACCCCAAAAAATGCTTGAAAAAAACGCCTGAAAAAAAAAACGCACCTACAATATTTGCAAATCTGCTCTAAGAAACACTCAAAAACGCCTGAAAAAAAAACAAAAAAAAGCTTGAAAAAAAAACGCCTGAAAAAAAACATAACGTCGGGAATTTTGCGGCAAAATCGAGTCCATGGACCCCCCCCGGGCCAATCAGGCAGGAGGCGTGTGGCGTGCGTTTGTGTGCTCTGCGTTGGCGTGTCACCAGCAGGAATCCCTGGAATGGCTCGGGGTGACAGCGGGGTGACGTCAGTCCCTCTCAGTACACAAGCCGTGTTTACACCCGACGGGGACACGCCCAGCAACACGACTCCGCGTCCCGTTCCTGCTGCTGCGCCGGTGACGTAACGCGAGTATTTCCCGAACCCCCCCAGACGGGAGAGGTGGGCCCTATTCATAGACATCCGGGGCCCCTTCACACCAGAGGACAGCCCCCCCCCATGCAGCGCAGGAACCAGATGCGGGCAAAACGAACAAATTCATTTGGTTGCGGATCGATTCGTTACATCGCTACTTTCATTTCATTTGTTTTCAACCGAATTCCCCCCCCCCCCCCCTCCCCCCCCCCCCCCCTCCCCCCGGATTCAAAGCATTCGGATCACAAATATCGAATCGGTCCAAATTTATGGTGAAGAACAGCTGCATACTTACTAATTCTATTCTATTCTATTCTATTTTTATTCTGTTCCTTTTATTTTCCATTTTATTTTATTCTATTCTTTTCTATTCTGTTCTGTTTCAATCTATTCTATTCTTTTTTTTCTATTTTATGATATTCTATTGTTTTCTATTCTGTTCTGTTCCTTTATATTCTTTTTTATTCTGTTCTATTCTTTTACTTTCCATTTTATTCTATTTTATTCCTTTATTTTCTATTCTCTTTAAATATTTTCCTTTTATTTTTATTCTATGTTATTATTTTCTATTCTATTCTTTTCCATTCTATTCTATTTTATTTTCCATTTTATTTTATTCTATTCTTTTCTATTCCTTTATTTTCTATTCTATCACAATCTTTTTTTTATTCTATTCTATTCTTTTATTTCTATTCTGTTCTTTTGTTTTCTATTTTATTCTAGTCTGCTGTTTTATATTCTATCCCTTTATATTCTATTATATTATATTCTATTACTTTCTATTCTTTCCTAATCTGTTTCTTTATTTTCTATTCTATTATTTTATATTCTATTATTTTCCAGTCTATTCTATTCTTTTATTTTCCATGTTATTCTATGTATTCCTTTATTTTCTATTCTATTCCAATTTGTTATTTTTTTTATTCTATTCTATTCTTTTATTTTCTGTTCTGTTCTTTTCTATTCTGTTCTGTTTTAATCTGTTCTATTCTTTTGTTTTCTATTTCATCATATTCTATTTTTTTTTGTATTCTATCCCTTTCTATTCTATTCCTTCCTATTATTTTCTATTCTGTTCATTTATTATCTATTCTACTATTTTATTTTCTATTTTTTTCTGCTTTCTTCTATTCTATTCTCTCCTTTCATTTTTTTTTTTTTTATTCTATTCTGTTCTGTTTTATTCTTTTCCATTCTTTTCAAAAGAAAAACAGAATTGAAATTGAAGCGCCACACCACCGCCCAGAGGTCCAGATAAACTTTATTCCATTAAAAGCCAGATATGCAATCCAAAAAGTAGTTGATGCGTTTCGGGGGTTCGAGTGCCCCCCCTTCATCATATATATATATGTATTGAAATATTTCTCATATATTTTGTAATATATAAAAAAAAAACACATTTCAACATGCAGTGTATATATATATATATGGAAATAGATTTTTAAATATATAGAATACGGCAAGAATTGTATATTTCAAATATATGTCAATATAATGGGAAGAATATTTTTAAAATGCATTTTCCTTCCATAGATTTTGGTGGACTGACAACATTATGTATCACTTTTGTTCTCAAAGATCTATTTTTCCTATATATAAACTTCGGATATTCAGGGATATTTTTAGGAATATCATCTTTTTTGTGAAGTGGTCCGCGGTCTGCGTTTAGCTGTGATAATACATCCTGAGGAGCGCTTGTCTAAATATTTTTGACACTAAAATGTTTGCATATTTAAAGGGTGTGTTGATGTAAAACTTCCTTTGGTTAGGAGCAGGCCCGGACTGGCCATAGGGCACACCAGGCATTTGCCCAGTGGGCCGGGGCCTAGAAAGAGCGGCCTGTGGATGACCGGGCCGCACAGCGGGAGGTAAGTGGCGACCGCGGTCTATGCGGGCCATTCCAGCAAACTACGGGGTGCAGAAGAGGACCTGCTAGCAGGGGACACACCTCCCAGGCTGGCCGCTGGAGAGACACTGCACTGACCACGGCGGGATCTCACTTTACCATGACAGCTGCACAGGGGAGGAAGGTGAGTGCAGTGCAGCCACACATCCCACTCTGTAGCATAGGGTGGATGGGGCTGTCTGAGCTGGATTTGGCTGTCTCTTTGCTATATGGAACTGTCTCTTTGCTGGATTAGGCCGTCTCCTGCTATATGGAGCTATCTCTTTGCTGGATTGGGCTGTCTCTTTGCTAGATCGGACAGTCTCCTGCTGTATGGAGCTGTCTCTTTGCTGGACTGGGATGCCTCTTTTCTGGATTAGGCTGTCTCTTTGCTGCACTGGACTGTCTCTTTGCTGGATTGGGCCATCTCTTTGCTATATGGAGCTGTCTCTTTGCTGGACTGGACTGTCTCTTTTCTGGATTAGGCTGTCTCTTTGCTGTATTGAGCCATCTCTTTGCTATATGGAGCTGTCTCTTTGCTGGATAGGGATATCTCTGTGCTGGATTGGGCCATCTCCTTGCTATATGGAGCTGTCTCTTTGATGGATTGGGCTGTTTCTTTGCTATATGGAGCTGTCTCTTTGCTAGAATGGGATGTGTCTTTGCTGGATTGGGATGTCTCTTAGCTGAATGGGACTATCTTTTAGCTGGATTGGGCCATGTCTTTGCTATATGGGGCTGTCTCATTAGTGAATTGGGCTGTCTCTTTGCTATATGGGGCTGTCTCATTGCTATGTGGGGATGTCTCTATGCTGGATGGGGATGTCTCCTTGCTGGATGGGGTGTCTCCTTGCTGGATGGGGATGTCTCTTTGCGAAAGGTAGAACTGTGCAGGGGAGGCAGAGATTAAAAGGGGGCACTAGAGAGAAAAGGGGGGCATAACTGCAAGGGGCACTGTGACGGTGGGGGGAGGGCTGTGATTCTGTGATTGCTAAAGGCACTGTAATGAAAGGGGGGCTGCACTGTAAAGGGGCACTGTGATCAAACAGTGCCCCTGTACAGTGAGGTCCCCTTTTATATCACATTGCAGAAGACCCTGAACATCCCGTCACCAACCGCCCCCACGAACGCCCACCCACCATCCCATTCCAGACTGAAGGTGAGGAGCCGGTACACCTGTGCAAGCCTGGAGGGGAGGAGCCGGTACACCTGTGCAAGACTGAAGGAGAGGAGCCGGTACACCTGTGCAAGACTGAAGAGGGAGGAGCCGGTATACCTGTGCAAGACTGGAGGGGAGGAGTCGGTACACCTGTGCAAGCCTGGAGGGGAGGAGCCGGTACACCTGTGCAAGACTGAAGGGGAGGAGCCGGTACACCTGTGAAAGCCTGGAGGGGAGGAGTCGGTACACCTGTGCAAGCCTGGAGGGGAGGAGTCGGTACACCTGTGCAAGACTGAAGGGGAGGAGCCGGTACACCTGTGCAAGCCTGGAGGGGAGGAGTCGGTACACCTGTGCAAGACTGAAGGGGAGGAGCCGGTACACCTGTGCAAGCCTGGAGGGGAGGAGTCGGTACACCTGTGCAAGACTGGAGGGGAGGAGCAGGTACACCTGTGCGAGACTGAAGGGGAGGAGCCGGTACACCTGTGCAAGACTGGAGGGGAGGAGCCGGTACACCTGTGCAAGACTGAAGGGGAGGAGCTGGAAGGAGAAATAAATGGAAAGTGTGATTTATGTATTTTTTTCAGGATTTTATGATTTGCAGAGCATTGCAGTGGCTTGAACGGCTGATTTTATATGTGTTTTTCCCGTGTCTCCCTCGCCGTGTCTCCCTTGTTGTGTCTCCCTCGCCGTGTCTCCCTTGTTGTGTCTCCCTCGCCGTGTCTCCCTCACTGCGTCTCCCTCACCATCTCTCCCTCCTTGTCTCTCCCTCGCCGCGTCTCCCTCGCCGCGTCTCCCTCGCCGCCTCTCCCTCGCCGTCTCTCCCTCGCCGTGTCTCCCTCGCCGCGTCTCCCTCGCCGTCTCTCCCTCGCCGCATCTCCCTCGCTGTCTCTCCCTCGCTGTCTCTCCCTCGCCGCGTCTCCCTCGCTGTCTCTCCCTCACTGCGTCTCCCTCGCCGTCTCTCCCTCGCCGTGTCTCCCTCGCTGTCTCTCCCTCGCCGCGTCTCCCTCGCCGTCTCTCCCTCGCCGTGTCTCCCCTCGTCGTCTCTCCCTCGCGCGTCTCCCTCGCTGTCTCTCCCTCGCCGCGTCTCCCTCGCCGTCTCTCCCTCGCCGCATCTCCCTCGCTGTCTCTCCCTCGCTGTCTCTCCCTCGCCGCGTCTCCCTCGCTGTCTCTCCCTCGCCGCGTCTCCCTCGCTGTCTCTCCCTCCCTGCGTCTCCCTCACTGCGTCTCCCTCCCTGCGTCTCCCTCACCATCTCTCCCTCGCCGCGTCTCCCTCGCTGTCTCTCCCTCGCCGTGTCTCCCTCGCCGTGTCTCCCTCCCTGCGTCTCCCTCACCATCTCTCCCTCGCCGTCTCTCCCTCGCCGTCTCTCCCTCGCCGCGTCTCCCTCGCCGTCTCTCTCCCTCTCTCCCTCGCCGTCTCTCCCTCGCCGTCTCTCCCTTGCCGTCTCTCCCTCGCCGTCTCTCCCTCGCCTTGTCTCCCTCGCCGTGTCTCCCTCGCCGTGTCTCCCTCGCCGTGTCTCCCTCGCCGTGTCTCCCTCCCTGCGTCTCCCTCGCCGTCTCTCCTCGCCGTGTCTCCCTCGCCGTCTCTCCCTCGCCGTCTCTCCCTCGCCGCCGTCTCTCCCTCGCCGCGTCTCCCTCACTGCGTCTCCCTCCCTGCGTCTCCCTCCCTGCGTCTCCCTTGGAAGGCCACCTCCTGTGCGTTGTTATTCGGGGAGGATTATTTCATTAAAAGCGTCTCAGGTGTTTCATAAATCCTCCGCAGCGGCGAGGTTCAGATGAGGCGACGGCTCCGGAGTTACCCGCACAGAATTCCTCACTGGAAATTGTATTCTGAAAATGCTAACGGGGTCAGGGGCCCCGCATTGCCCTATCTATGGGCCCCTTAGACACCCATTGGCCCAGTATTCAGCTCTAAGTCCAGCTGGAGGATTCGTTTACATACCTGGGAGCAGAAAGTTGGGTGAGACGGGACATTCCCGGAAAATGGGAGACCGCAGAGACGACTGGCCACTTCTGCCGTCCTGCATTAGTTACAATGTTACTCTCACCGCTGCGGTTTCAGGTGCGGCTTGCAATCGCATCTCATGAATGTGAATGTCGGCGTCTTCACACGTGCGATTTGCTGCAGCGTGATTTCTAATGTAGTTCTTTTTCTGCTGTTTTGTTGCGATTTCACAGACATAGAATGTAATGGAGATCACACTGCATATTGCAAGAAATCGAATATATATATATACACTATATTGCCAAAAGTATTGGCCCCGCCCGCCCTCCCAATCATGTGATTCAGGTGTTCCAATCCCCTCCCAATCATGTGATGGCCCCCTAATTCCAGTGAAGGGAACTCTTAAGGTGACATTTTGGACAATTTCATGCTCCCAACTTTGTGGGAAGAGTTTGGGGACGGCCCCTTCCTGTTCCAACATGACTGCCCCCCAGTGCACAAAGCAAGGTCCATAAAGACATGGAGGAGCCAGTTTGGGGTGGAGGAACTTGACTGTCCTGCACAGAGTCCTGACCTCAACCCCATAGAACACCTTTGGGATGAATTAGAGCGGAGACTGCGAGCCAGGCCTCCTCCCCCGACATCAGTGCCTGACCTGACAAATGTGCTTCTGGAAGAAAGGTCCAACCTTCCCATAGACACCCTCCTAAACCTTGTGGACGGCCTTCCCAGAAGAGTTGAAGCTGTTATAGCTGCAGAGGGCGGGGCCAACTCAATATTGAACCCTACGGACTAAGACTGGGGGGCCATTAAAGGTCATGTGGGTGGAAAGGGCGGGGCCAACTCAATATTGAACCCTACGGGTTAAGACTGGGAGGCCATTAAAGGTCATGTGGGTGGAAAGGGCGGGGCCAACTCAATATTGAACCCTACGGGTTAAGACTGGGAGGCCATTAAAGGTCATGTGGGTGGAAAGGGCGGGGCCAACTCCATATTGAACCCTACGGACTAAGACTGGGGGGCCATTAAAGGTCATGTGCGTGGAAAGGGCGGGGCCAACTCCATATTGAACCCTACGGACTAAGACTGGGGGGCCATTAAAGGTCATGTGCGTGGAAAGGGCGGGGCCAACTCAATATTGAACCCTATGGACTAAGACTGGGAGGCCATTAAAGGTCATGTGGGTGGAAAGGGCGAGGCCAACTCAATATTGAACCCTACGGGTTAAGACTGGGAGGCCATTAAAGGTCATGTGGGTGGAAAGGGCGGGGCCAACTCAATATTGAACCCTACGGACTAAGACTGGGAGGCCATTAAAGGTCATGTGGGTGGAAAGGGCGGGGCCAACTCAATATTGAACCCTACGGGTTAAGACTGGGAGGCCATTAAAGGTCATGTGGGTGGAAAGGGCGGGGCCAACTCAATACTGAACCCTACGGACTAAGACTGGGAGGCCATTAAAGGTCATGTGGGTGGAAAGGGCGAGGCCAACTCAATATTGAACCCTACGGGTTAAGACTGGGAGGCCATTAAAGGTCATGTGGGTGGAAAGGGCGGGGCCAACTCAATATTGAACCCTACGGACTAAGACTGGGAGGCCATTAAAGGTCATGTGGGTGGAAAGGGCGGGGCCAACTCAATATTGAACCCAAGGGTTAAGACTGGGAGGCCATTAAAGGTCATGTGGGTGGAAAGGGCGGGGCCAACTCAATATTGAACCCTACGGACTAAGACTGGGAGGCCAATAAAGGTCATGTGCGTGGAAAGGGCGGGGCCAACTCAATACTGAACCCTCCGGACTAAGACTGGGAGGCCATTAAAGGTCATGTGGGTGGAAAGGCCGGCCGCCCAAGACTTGGGGCTATATAGTGTATATAAAACCTCTTTGGAGCTGAGCCCAGACATTCGGCCTAGTGCCACAGCTGAGGTCTCACTCTTGGTGACCAATGTGGGTCATCTTCATTATTTTCATCGTAATGAAACAGACCAACCCGATACTCGTCAATGTTTGTGTCGTTATGCAAATGACCTATAAGGAAAAGCGAGATAAATTTCATACTGGGGAGCCGTTTGACGTTCTTATCTGCAAATGTGAAGCCGACTTCCTCCATCCTGACATGACACCATGGTCAAAAGCTTAAAATATATATATATATACAGTATATCATGTCTGGAGGTACAGATTTATTGCTGGGATGTGAAAGATAATGATGGGATGAGCAATGAGCTGCTGGATGTCCACTTGTTAAAAAGCAGGAAAAAATTCCTTTCCTGATCTTCATACACCAAAGGAACCCTTCAAAGAAGTTTTAGGTGCCATGGAACCCCTCCTGCTAACATGAGTTCATGGGGTCAGTGGTAAAAAATACCCCTCACATTGGTGGCCAGTGGAACGAAAGCCCACTACAGTAGTCAGGATGCCCCCTACGTACAGACAGCCGAAAAGGTCATTGGCTCTGCCAAGTGGCGTTGGCCCCAAAACTACGAAGGCACCATCAGATGGGAACAAGGGCGGACTTAGTATTTGGAAACTCTAGCATTGCCCGAGGTCAGTAGGGGGCCCCATGAGATACATGGTACATATTCATAGGCTTTTTTTGTTTGGGCAAGGACACAGGGACCCCATGATCCCCTATTGCCCGGGGGCCCCATGAGTTGTCAGTCCGCCCCTGGATGGGAACCAATTGGCCACAGAAACATCTAACCATTGACGTAGGGATGAGCTCAAAGTTTGGTCCCACCTCAAGTTGGGACCATAATTCGGCTTTTTCGCCTTTGCCCAAATGGTGGACTCTTGACCCGTTCCATGAGAGTCTACGTCAGCTTCCTGTCAATGGTTTGCGAAGGAAATGGCGGGCGCCGGTGCCAGCGGCGTCCTTAGCAAACACCGACATTACCTGTTCATTTACTGTCTAGGAATCCCGCGCTGAAAGGGCGGGGATAGTGCTGACGCCATTGTCCAAATATGGCCAATGACCTCACTTGGGAGATCCCGCCCCCTACATTTTGGTGGTCGGACCTGAGAGACGTCATTTGGCAAGAGCAGTCGCCGAGATTGGTCATGTCCGTCGGTTGGCAGGATTTTTTTTTTTTTTTTTTTTCAGTGGGTGTCGGGGATCCTTCATCATGATTGGACGGGACTGGTGATGGACGTTCATCGTGGGACTTTTTTTGGGTTGTATTTTGTAACTAAATTTCTTGACAAAAGCCGTGTGTCGTTATTTACCCTATATACCCCTCACTCATCGACATGGGGGGGCTGGAACCTGGGGGACCCCTTATTTTTAAAGGGGGGTCTCCAGATTCTGAAAGTCCCTGGCCTGCATCCCCCCACAACCACCAGGCCAGGGTTGTGGGGAAGAGGTCCTTGTCTGCAACAAGGTGCTTTTCCCTGGGGGGGGAGGGCCCTTAACCACTTGTAGACTGCCCGCCCCCCCCCCACAAAATACTGTGGATGGGCGGCCCGCATAGGCAAAGAAATACCCACACATTGCTGCCTGCTTCCAGGGATTAGGGCGCACCCCCCCCCCCCTCCGCACCGGCACCCACTGTGATTGCACACAACAGGAGCCTGGCAGCAAGTCTAG